GGGTCAAATGGGACTTCCAGTCCTAGTTCTTTGAGGTATATCCATACTGATTTCCACAGTGGTTGCACTGTGGAATTTTTATTTTATTTATTTTTTGGTACCGGGGATCGAACTCTGGAACTTATGCTTGCGAGGCAGGCGGCAGAACCTGAATTTTTATTTTTGAGACAAGGTCTTGCTAAATGCCATGCTGAATTTGAATTTGTAATCTTCCTGTCTCAGCCTCCCAGAATGCTGGGATTACCAACATGCACCACTGTTCCAAGCTATTCTTAATATTTTGCTATACATCTAATTTTTTTGTAGATAAAATGTGCATATAAATTAATTTTGTTCAGATTTTGAACTTAAATATAAGGTAAAATGTTTACTTTGGTCATGTTTTGGTAGTTTTAGTAAATTTAAGTATGGGTTTGCTTTTTTTTTTCCTTTGGTTCAGATCAGGAATATTAAAATAAGTCTTCTTAGCCAGGCACAGTGACATACGATGGTAATCCCAGCACTCAGGAGGCTGAGGCAGGAGAATCACCATGAGTTTGAGGCCAGTGTGGGTTACGTAGTAAGTTTAACACCAGTCTGAACTATGTAGTGAGACCCTGTCTTAAAAAAAAAATAAGTCTATTTGTAAACTCAGATAGATAACTGACAATGTTCACTTCCAATCAGTTGCGCTCAATAGCGTAATATTACTATTTTTGTTTGGGGGGATTTTTCTGTTTTGTTTTGGTTTAGTTTGGTTTGGTTTGGTTTTTGGTTTTTGAGATAGGTTTTCACTTTGTAGTTCAGGCTGGTCATTAACTATGTAGCCCAGGCTGGCCTCAAACTCAAAACAACAATCCTCCTGCCTCATCCTTCTGAATGCTGAGATTACATGTGTCCACCACTACACCTAGCAGATTACTGTTTTGAAAAAGGGAAAATTTTGATGCAGGAGACAAATTCATAGCCTTTAAAATGTTTCTTCTTAGTCATATCTTTCTAAAATACCAACTAATTTTATATATAGATTTTATCACTACAGTTAACTCTTTTCTTTTTTTGTGGTACTGGAGATCGAACTCAGGACCTTGTGCTTGCGAGGCAGGCGTGGTGCCACTGAGCTAAATCCCCGGCCCACTACAGTTAATTCTTAAGTTCTATAGTTTATCTGACCATTTTCTGTTTTAGAAAACTGATACTCATAAAATGTTTCTTTTTGTTTTCTCATTTAGATGTTCCTTAATGGATTATAGAAAAGCATCAAACCTGTTTTTGAAAACAGCAAGAGAAAGTTTGGAGTCTGCTATTAACTGACCATATTTATTATAGTTTTAAAATTGTGCAGTCTGTATGCAATAGCTACGTTATCCACAAGAATAACTGAATGCTTAGTATTAGTATAATTACCCAATAAAGAACCTGTACCCTGAGTTAATAATTTCATTGCCAGTTGCTTGTATGAGTTAAAGACTCTCCGTTTTTTGCCGCATACACGAGGGAAACAAAATGCAGGCATAGTCTGCTCTCCCCCTTAAGAAAACCAGCTATGTACTTAAATCCTATTCCCTCCATGTATAAAACTCTTTTGAATGTTAGCCTCAGTCAGTATTTATACAAAACTAGCTGCAGCGGTGTCGGTCAGGGGTCAGAGGGAGTCCACGCTGTGTGGGCCTGGGGCAGCCGGGAGCCTCGGAGACTCTGGAGCCGCCTCTCCTCGGTGCGTGCGGAAGCCCAGCCGTCCTCGGCCACCACCCGGAGAAGAAAGAACTGCTCTTCTGTCCTCCTATTTGCAATTTCTGGGCTGGAGCCAAACAGCCGAGAGAGGCAGGGCGGGCGCCATTGTCAAGGGTTTCCTGGGACCGTGGGCCTGAGCTGCGGAGAAGGTGACGCGGGAGAAGGCGTGGAGCTGGGAGTGTGGGTCAGCGCTGGCCCCAGATGCTTGGGCTTTTTAGATAGGGAAATAACAGTGAAGGTGACGTTTTAGGAGACCGACTTGACATCTGCGGGGGAAATGAATCGCCTGAAAGGACTGAGGGCCCCGGATGAGGAATCTGCTTAGATTCCCTGGGGACTGGCGGAGAAGCAGGAGGGTGGTCAGGGACAGCTGCTATGGAAAACGTGGGGTCTCAACATCAGGGACAAAGGAAGAGAGATCACAAAATGTCATGCATTTGCTGCTGCTCTTTTTGGTGTTTATAACGCCTATCATTTCTCCTTTTTAAGTACAAGTGCTATTTTGAAGTCCAGTTGGCTGGTTACTAATCCATTCGTCACTGGAGATTTGTCCCTGATGCTAACCACTCCATCTCCTTTGGGGATCTTAATGTTGTGTTATGAACTACATCCTTTAAGAGAAAGTAAGTCAGGCACAGGAGCATACACCTGAAATCCTAGCTACTCGGGAGGCTGAAACAGGAGGACCCCAAGTTCAAGGCTAGCCTGGTTAATTTTTTTTTTTTTTTTAGATAGGGTCTCCCTCTGTAATTCAGGCTGCCCTTAAACTCACTGTGCAGCCCAGCCTGGTCTCAAACACCCAGCGATACTCCTCCCTCAGCCTCCCAAGTGCCAGGATTACAGATGTGCACCACCACACGTGGCTTAGCCTGGGTAATTTAGCAAGATCCTGTCTCAAAAAACTTTTAAAGTGCTGGGAAGCTGATCAAAAAAAAAAAAAAAAAAGGCAATATGTGGTATGTATGTTCAATAATTGTTATTTTTTAAAGTATGGTTTCGCTTGAGAATGACCCTCTAAACTCACACGCTCAGCTGGGGATTTAGCGCAGTGGTTTCGCCACCTGCTGCGCAAACGCAAGGACCTGAGCTCGATCCCCGGTACCAAAAAAACCCCAGACAAACAAACAAACAAACTCACATGCTCAGAGGCAGGGCCCTAGGCAGGTGGTTAGACCTTGGTAGAAAAGGCAGCTGACACAGGTGCTGGGGCCTGGTTAGGAGCAGGCTGCTGGGGCGTGGCCTGAGTATGGCTCCGCCCTGGTCCCGTCCTAGCGGCTTCCTGGCTGCTGTAACGTAAGCGACTTCCCTCCACCAGGCTTCTGTCCTCCGACCTCTCCTTTACGTTGCATGTGTCAGGTATTTTGTCACAGTGACGAAGAAAGTGGCAAGACGATGAAAATGTTCTGGAACCGGATAGAGGTGATGACCCTGCAACATTGTGAATGTTCTGGAAGTAAATCTGAATTATTCACTTTGAAATGCTTTATTTTATGTTGCAAATTTAACCTCAAAAACAAAGTAAGGCAGAGCTTGGTGATAGAATAGGCACATTCTTTGCTATTTCTCTTGCTAAGTACAACTATAAACCCTGGACACAGGAAGAAAGGTAGAGAAATAATGAAGGCCAGCTCAGGACCCAAGGAACAACACAGTGCAAGTTTCCTGGAATTTCTCTTTCCCTCCAATGACCCAGACCTGGATCTCAAGAAGCTGGACAGCTGTGAACCCCACGAAGGGCTCCCTCCAGCTAGGGCCCAGGCAAGAGGCAGCTTGGCAAGCAAGAAGTGTCCTGCTTCACCCACAGGAAGAACAGCAGCCCCGCCCCACAGCAGAAAACTTACCCCACTACACAGACAGGTAAGTTCAGCCAGGCACAGTGGTGTGCTGTGCACTCCAGGAGGCTGAAGCAGAAGGATCATAAGTGTGAGCCCAGCCTGGGCAATTTAGCTAGAGCTTGTCTTAAAGTTTAAAGAAGGGCTGGGGATGTAGCTCAGTGCAGAGGTACTGGGCTCAATCCCCAGTGCTGAGGGAGTATTAACCTGTAAGTTGTATGTCAGTAAAGCTTGGAAAACAGTGATGTGTGGGTGAAGTTATCTGGAAGATCACACAAGAACCCACTGCTGCTGTCTCTGGAACAGAAGTTTGGTGTGGGAGGGAAATGTTTGCCCTGTACACTGTTCTCACAATGAAGAGTTTTTGTTAGGAATTTTAAAAATGACTTCTAAAAATGTATGATAGTAACATAACTTAGGTTCACAGTATACATTTTAATAGAAATTTTGAAAGAAAATGTGTAAGAGGGCCAGGGATTTAGCTCGGTGGTTCTGCTATCTGCCTCACAAGCGCAAGGTCCCGAGTTCAGTACCAAAAAAAAGAAAATGTGTAAGATATGTATGGAAAATACAAATGCATAGGGCATGACTAATCCCTCGGGCAGATTGCATTTGTTTATTTCTGTGCATCACTTTTTTCTTCATTTTATTTATTTATTTATTTATTTATTTATTTATTTATTTATTTATTTTTGGTACCAAGGATCGAACCCAGGTCCTCAGCTTTCGAGGCAGGCAGTGAAACCACTGAGCTAAATCCCCGGCCCTTTTCTTCATTTTATAAAGTCACAATCCTACTGCATATGCAGTTTTGTATTTAATATCCTTTTCACTGCTATTATAATTTTTTTTTTTTTTTTTGCAGTACTAGGCATTGAACCCAGGGCCTTACACTTGCTAGGCAAGAGCTCTGCTGCTGAGCTCTACCTCCAACCCTCCACCCCCGAAAGTATTGCTTTTAATGGTTGTGCTTTATGGTCATTTGCACTGTAACAAGACCACAGATGTCAGAGCCAGGCAGGCTTGGGCCACAGCTCTGCTCTATATTTAGGTTTATGAATTAGGTGGGATTGCTTAATCTCTCTGAGCTCATTTCCTTATCCATGACATGGGGATAATAGACCCTCTCCCATGCTCTCTGTTAGGCTAGAATGGCGTAGGATCCTCAAATCTCCAGGTCACTCCCTACTGAGTGTCCACTAAATGTCTACTATTATGGACATTTGGACCTAACTCATATTTTTACACAAAGCCTTTCCCATGCTTGGAATTTTTCCTTTAAGATACATTCCCAGGAATTTGCCAGGCCCATTATAAGGACAGGGATATTTTAAAGGCTGAGATCTAGATGCAGATTGCCAAGCCACATGCCTTTCAGAAGGTCCCCTCACGGCTTAAGACTGACTTAAGCTCCCCAAGCCTCACCTCGCTGAGCGCCTTCCATTTAAACACATGTTGCTACTCTGATATGTGGTAGCGGTGACCCACTATTCTCATTGGCATTTCTTTGATATCTGTGTGGTTGAACCTCAGGAATACCAAATATTAGGCTGAAATCGCAAGTGGAGTCTGATTGTGTTCTTGGTTATAAACTCGCAGAGGACAGAAGGGATCAAGTGGTGGCACTAGAATGTCACAAATGGAAAGCGATCTCCAGGCCTCACTGAATGAGGCTAACCCGAAAGAGCCGTCACCCGGTTAACGTTGGTTTCCTCTTGCAGAATAATGTCCCGGTGGGGCATAGGCTTTCCATGTACCAGAGAAGTCACTGTTTGTTTATTTGTTTGTTTTTGTTTTTTTGAGACAGAGTCTGGCTGTGTAGCCCAGGCTGGCCTCAAACTCACAGCAATCCTCCCACCTCAGCCTCCCCAGTGCTGGGATTACATACAGGCCCAGCCCAACTGAGAAGTTACTTTTTTGAGACATAATTATAAGTTTAAATGTGCAGATGGCCAAGATCCTTATTGTTATATTTTATATTTGTATTATCTATGATCATTGTTTTTATTACTCCATTGTCACTTCTCATGCAACCATCCTCCTTACTGTTTTTTATAACAAATTTTTAGTAAAGATCTGACCTATTTTCTTTTGAGGGGGGTACTTGGGGTCGAACTCAGGTCCTTGCACTTTCAGGGCAGGTGGCAGAACCACTGAGCTAAATCCCTGGCCCAGCTATTTTCTAATTGAACATCCTTTCAATGGATTTTTTCCCATTACAAATGAAATTTCATTTTACATCTATAATTAGAAACAACAAGGGCCAGGGATTTAGCTCAGTAGTCTCGCTGCCTGCTGCACAAGCGCAAGGACCCGCATTCAATCCGATACCAAAAATAAATATTTTTGGGCCGGGGCTTTAGCTCAGTGGTTCTGCTACCTGCCTCAAAAGTGCAAGGACCCAAGTTCGATCCCCGGTACCAGAAAAAAAAAAAAAAGAAACAACACTCATAGGGCCGGGGATTTAGCTCAGTGGTTTTGCCGCCTGCTGTGCAAACGCAAGGACCGAGTTCCATCCCCGGTACCAAAAAAAAAAGAAGGAATTAGAAACAACACTCATAATAGGGCTGTACAAACTTGGGTCAAAACAAAAATCTGTATTGTTCATTCTCACTGCTGCCTCTGTATATTCTCTCAACACCAAGCCAGGACTTTCCACAAGCTGCCCACTTGGCTTGGTTTAAAGCCCAGGTTGCCAATTGACGCATGGGCAGCTTTGGTTCCAACCAGACTCGGGCTCTTCTTAGGAGCTAGACCTAAAAAGGCTCTCCCTGCTGTGGAGAGTCAGATTTTTTTCCCAAGCTCTGAATCTCACTTCCGGCCCAATCCTACTGTGGCCCATGAGGTCTGTAACACCTGGCCCCAGCCACCT